ACAAACACAAAACATAGAAAACTAAAGACTGAGCAACACAAACCCCACCTAAACTGGGGGTGATCTCAGGTGCTCCAGAAGGGTAAGCAGATCCTGCTCCACATGTGGCACCTGTAGTGTTGCTCATGTTAATACAAACTCGTTTTATAAGTCTGAATCAGTAGGTCACATTCCGGAAAAAGGGGACAGGATTGTAGTTACAACATTTGGAACATATCCGCTATCATCTGTGAAACGGATATTCCATAACGATCAACCAACTCATGATGGCGTCTGTAAAATTTACGAAGGGATGATTTCAACTTCACCACTTGGAACTCATGGTTTAAAAGCTTCCATGTGAGCAGCAACCCTCTGTCAAGGAAATCAATTAGATAATGATATATGTTTAGTTATGATAGTTTGTCCACCTTACCTTGGATGAGGATCTAATCAACCTTGGTTTGTGAAATTGACAATATATTAAAGATTTGAAAGAGGGCAATTCAAAAGGGCAGACAATCCAAGCTTTAAGACAGAAACAACAAAAGAAAAAATCCTGTTAACAGTCATTATAATAACAATGTAATAAATAGAGAATGTGTCCATGGGACACAGATAATGCCCCCACTTGCATATAACTTTATAAAGGGACATAACAAGAAAACTGGAAAAGTACGTGACACCACCCAAATTCGAACTTGATCTGTGTTTTATGGTAATAAACATTGTGTATAAGTTTCATAACATTTGGTTGAGGCAAACTATAGTTTGAGAACAGAAACGAATAATTCAGCAATTTTTCCATTTATAAAGGAGCATAACTCAGGAACAGTAAAAGTGAGGCCAACCACATTCTAGCTTGATCTGTGTTTTGTGGTAATAAGCTATGTGTATAAGTTTCATAACATTTGGTCAAGGGAAACTAAAGTTAGAGAATGGAAACCAATTTAGGGACATACGGACGTACGGACAGATGGACAGACGGATGGACAGACAGACATGGGTAAACCTTAATGTCCCCTCCGCTACAGCGGGGGCCTAAAAATATTACAATGTATATTTTTGTAAAAAAAAACTCTTCAAAGTTTGTTTGAGGGGGTTTTACATCACTTTTTTACACATTCATACTGTTTTAAGACAGTCCATTCTATCAATAGAGGGAATGTTCAAAATAAACCACCAACCCTTGATAAGGAACAGCTAAACTCTTATTACATACCATTTTGCAAATGACCAGGGAGTCTCAACCCTGTCATATATTGGTGGGAAGCTAAAGATGCAGGTAGATTTGCTGCACTTTTTAGACAACTTGACAATCAGGGCACAATACAAACATAAAGTTCTAAGAGCCTTGCAATTTTTTATAATTAAGAAATAACTGGCTGCAGAATTGATACTTGAAGGTTGAATGTACAAAATGTAGAAATTCTGTAAATGCTTTCCAACCATTTTTTTTGTCAAACTGCCCAACAAGAAAAACTGGAAATGTAAATAAAAGAATGATAAACACAAAGTGTTGGAAAAGATCTGCTTCTTGGGGTCAGGATTTTGATGATGAAAATTAAAGTAACAGGTTGTACAAACTAAAGAATCTAGAGAGCCTGTGTAGCTCACCTTGGTCTATGTGCATATTCAACAAAGGACACTCTCCAACATTGTAGACATGAATAGAATTCAGGACAAAAACCTCAGTTTTGTTGATCTTGTATTGCTGATCATTTAGTCTGTTTAGTTTCTCTGTATCTTATTTAGTTTTTGCTCAAAACACAAAAGAGGGTAAAACAAAATCCCCATTTAAGGGCAATCACTCTTAAAAGAGTGACAGTCTACTAACTATATTGGCAAATTTTGATTGTTAGTAGATCTTGCCTTGCTGATAATTTTTGTGATTTAAAGTGTCTATTTATCTATTATAATTTTTATCATATAAGGCAAAACGCAAAAAAAAGTTAAAAATTGTCATTAAAAGGCAATAACTCCAATAGTGAGATGTCGGAAGATTCCTCCATATTGTCTTAATTGTATATCTTGTCTTGCTGATCATTTTGCTTATTTAAGTTTCTATCTATCTACTATAATTTTTAAGATATAAGGCAATAACGCAAAACATTGGTAAAAATCGTCATCAAAAGGCAATAACTCTTGACAAGGAGCTGACTGAAGATTTTGACTATGTCGACTTATTTGTTGAACAGTCTTGCAGATCATTGTTGCAATTTAAAGTTTATCTCCATCTAATATAGTTTTCAAGATAATAGGCAAAAATAAAAAAAATCAAAGCACCAAGGGCGCTATAGGCAGTTAATTAAAAAACCCCAAGGCAAACGTGGCAGAAGCTTAAGTTAAGATGAATATTCTGGAAGAATTGGTTTAATTATTTATCTCAGCTATTTCAAGTTAAAAAAATGTTTGTACCTTAATGTTTCCGCTATCCAATCCTACCATTTTCAAAAGTTATTTCTAATTTATCTTAAATATGTTTCCTTTAAAATGAGCCTTAAATGAAAATTTTTATAGGCCCAGAAATAACTAAAAAAATAATTAAAGTAAGTTCAACCTAGACTTATTTCTTGCATCAATTAAATTCTATAATAAACAAGAAATAATTGTAACAGGATACTGTTACGAAGTCTCCCAAACAAAGCTCCTATAATTCGTCATTCCGGCCGGCCCATGGTCGCCTACAAATTGGTTTGGTCAAGTAAAGTGATATGCATATGTGACGCCTAGGAGATTGACCCTGTATGTCATTCAAACATTCTTGAGTTGACGAACAGGAATATATATGGTTTAGGGGTGGAGATCTCGACCGTTTTCAAGTTCTCAAAAGGTGGGGGTTGATCCCCAGGGGACTCTCCCTTTATTTCATTTGATTTGTTTTAATGTCCCATACAAGAATACTATATATGGTTTTGGGGTGGGGATCTCGACCGTTTGCAAATTTTCAAAAAGAAGAGGGCTGGGGTGACCCCCATGGACTAATCCCCTATATTTTATTTTATTTGTTTTATTGTCCCATACAAGAATATATATGGTGTAGGGGTGGGGATCTCAACCGTTTACAAGTTCTCAAACAGGAGGGATGAGGTGAAACCCCCAGGGCTCCCCTATATTTAATTTTGTTTTATTGTTCCATACAAGAATATGTATGGTTTAGGGGTGGGGATTTCGACCGTTAACAAGTTCTCAAACAGGAGGGGGTGGGGTTGACCCCCGTGGACTCCCCCTATATTTCATTTTATTTGTTTTATTGTACCATACAAGAATATGTATGGTTTAGGGTTGGGGATCTCGACCATTAAGTTCTCAAACAGGGGGTGGGGGGGTTGGCCCCCAGGGACTCCCCCTATATTTTATTTGATTTGTTCTATTGTCCTGTTATCATTACTGAAGATCGTGTGTGTCTTTCACTTACTGTTTTCAAGTAATAGTCATTTGAAAATTGAAATAAATAAAATCCCATAGTGTTCCATAGTAAACCCCTCCCTTATTTAGGCCCCTCAAAATACCCCTAAATAGACCCCAATGCACAAACGAAAGATTGATAACTCCGCTAGACATTTTAGTCTAACATTTTATGAAACCCTAAGTAAATCTGACAAGCGGTCCGAGTTGTCTTCTAAGACGGTCAGAGTGGACTCGGTCCGACTTGTCTCGGGGACGAGTTGTCCACATTTCTTAAAACATCCCATCAACGTCGATTTTCGGATCTTTTTCATTCATAAGAACAACATTCATAAAAACAACAACAACTGCTAAGGTCAGTGATAAACGGGATAATATAATAAAAGAAAGGAATTTAAATGTGCATACATTTAATTGAAATAAATAAAATAATCACAATCTTCTTAAACGAAAAGAACATCATTATTAACAAAACTTATTTTAAAACATCAGAATACTTACCTTACGTTTTGTGTAAGTTAAAATTACCGCCAACTTAGACTACTACATATAACTTTATTTCCTCTATCATAGAGATCGGTGTACATGAACAATATTCCTGCGCCTTTGGCCATTTGGGAAATGTAAACGACTTGTAATTAGAGATTTTCGGCGATGAAATATTTCATACAATTGTTCTTTGACATCTTAGCCAAAAGCACATGGGATGATAAACTACGTACGGATTTCTATTGAGCACTACTTCCTATGTGCAACTTCAAATGTTTTGGGTAGTTCGACGATCATTTAAGGTTTTTCTGGTCATATTTTTTGTATTCCAGAATTGAAAGTATGAAAAAAGTGCCCAATTAGTTATTAATAACATATAAGCCAGCTAGATAATAACAATAGCACTTTTTACACCATTTAGTGGGAAGAACACAAATCTAGGGTGGTAGCATAAGGCAGCTTAACTGCCTAAAAATGGTAAAATTTGTCATTTAAGGGCAATAACTCCAATAAGAAGCTGTCTGACAGTTTTGACGTACATGGACAATTGGTAGAGCTCAACATTCTGAACATTTTTGCTCAGCCAGATTTTCTCTATTAATAATGATTTTCAAAATAATAGACAAATAAAATTGAGAATGGAAACAGGGAATGTGTCAGAGAGACAACAACCCGACCAAAAGGCATAAAACAGCCCAAGGCCACCAATGGGTCTTCAACACAGCGAAAAAATACTGCACCCAGAGGCGGGCCTCAGCTGGCCCCTAAACAAAAAATGTGTACCTGTTCAGTGAAAATGGATGTCACATTAAACTATGCATGCATTTTACCCCTATGTTCTATTTTAGCCATGTCGGCCATCTTGGTTGGCAGGCAGAGTCATCAGACATATTTTCCAAATGGTTAAATTTGGTCAAGTAGTTTCCGAGGAGAAAATTTTTGGAAAAGTTAAGGGATGACGGATAACAGACGCCAAGTGATGAGAAAAGATCACTTGGCCCTTTGGGCCAGGTGAGCTAAAAAAGATTATTTTAGAAACATAGATAATATGAAGTAGCCAAATCCATTAGGTGTTAATTTTCAGTAATGCTATCATATATATAAAGATGTTACAAATAAAACTCTAAAGCTATAAAATCTTATTATCAATAAACAAATTGATTTTTCCATAAAATAAAGGAAAACATGTATCAACATATAAAGGCATACCTGTCAACCTATGAAAATGAAAATGCAGGTCATGACCCGCATTGAAGAAAAAAATCTCAGGTCATAACGCGTATGAACTTTTTTCCAGCTGAATTTAAGTATTTAGGGGACATTTTTTTTATATTTGTTTTTATATTTTAAAACAAACAGTTTCCAAAACATGTTTCAATGGTTAAGTATTCACTGAAAATATTTTAAACCTATCATTGTTGCTATGCACTTACGATTTTGATAGATTAATGTTTAATACTTTAACAATTCAAGCCAAGCCATAACCCCTTTTCATTATTATATTCAATTCACCAGTCACAAAACGTTCAGTGTGCATCTATCTGTACAGCTTTATACATTATTCCAAATACTCAATTAGGGGGTGTATAAAGTATAATAAAAAAAAGTTAAACATTTAAATAAGGTAGATATGAAAAAATAATTTTCAACTATTAATTTTCTAATTGTTCTAAGGTAGAAAAATAATAAAAAGTAATATTCTAATATTTTTTTGCATTCAATTTGTTTTAGATTTAATCTTTTCACAAAAATAAACATAAATTTAACGAGTATATTTTGAAAAAAGACAAAAAAGGGGAAGTAACTCACATTTTTTGTGAAACAACTTTGAAATACACAAATTATTTATGACCTAAAGCTAAGGTATTTGGTGTTAATTAAGAGTGTGTTTGACACCAAAGCTGTCATGTGAGGCCATGCACTGAAATGGGTCACTTAATTTGAGGTTACACAGTTAGTTGAACTTCTTGTCCAGGAAGAATTACGAATTTGCCGGTATTTCAAAGGAAAATCACATATGAAATCAGTCTGAAAGCTTAAGAATCCAGGTGAAAACAGGTCATGTTCGGAACTCCCGGGTTATTTAAACGACCTGGCGGGTATTTTAAATAAAAAACCCAGGTGACCCCTCAGAGGGGTGGAAATCTCAGGTCACACCCGCAGGAAACGGGTCAGTCGACAGGTATGATAAAGGCCTTAAATAGTGGTATACATTCACTATTGATATTGATTCAAACTAAACGATTTTAATTCATTTTTTATATAAATTAATTAATAATTAGATATACAAAAGTCTAACAACATTACCTTTCACTGTGAATGAAAAGTAATGTGGTCATAAAGACTCGATTTCTGATCAAATATAAATAACCTATTACCATTAGGATATATATCTATGAGTCATCACATTAAATTGAATGAGAATCACCTCACTCAATTAGTTCTGACTTTCCTGGATATTTCCTTACATTAAACACGTCTATATTTTCTCTAAGTTTTCTGATTATATAATATATGTGTATTCCCAAGGATTTGTGTTTGTTGCCACTTATATCTTCACTTGTCCATTTGTCATAATTTACTGGTCTCAGGTTTATTTAATTCTACCACTATTTTTCCTATGCTCTTTTGAGAATATAAATACTGAAAAAGAGAAGCAGAAATAAAAATCAGGCTAAAATCACTCAAAATTATTAAATGTGTTTCTTCATCAGTTATGTCCAAAGCCAAAATTTGGATAGTAAAGATATTCAAAGGAACCAATATAACCAAAACTGATCTGAAAAGACTCTAAAAAACTTTTCTTAGGTAAAAATGATAAGAGGGAGTCATAGAAACTTACAAAACTACAAACTATAAATGAATCCAAATTATATATAAAAATCAGGGTAATTCTTTCAGCATAAATTACACCTTAAGAATGAGCATCAACCAGGCCTTGTGGTCATAAACTTTAATCAGTACATGGAGAACAAAATTTCTGCTGAAGACCAAATCCAGTATTTTGATTGGTCGATTTCCAATTCTGAGTAAGATAATCATACTCAAAATTTTAATGACCGCAAGGCCAGAAGTTGTATCAACCAATCAATCAAATATATCATAATAATTCAATCAAGTCCATAGGGAGAGTTGCCTTCACATTAACTCATATTTCATCATAATGATTCATGATTCTTAATGATAATTTCTAAAATTTCTGACTTTAACATGATTTTATAAATACGAATACCAAGTTAAGATGCCCCAATATTGTCCTTATTTTAATCTATCTCCCACGTCTAACTTCAACATCAAAGATCTACTGTTTCTTTGATAGCTTTATGTCTCACCCAAACAATTGATCATTTCCTTGATTAAAAACCTCAACAACATCATCTATTTTATTTATTTTTGTGAGATTTTTCAACAGTTTAAACTCAAAATCAGCACAATATTATCATTATTGGAGAAGATTATCTTATCAATGTTGGAGACAGTATTTCTAGTCTTACCTTAACAGCATTCACTATTCTTTCAATGTTGAAGAAGATTATTTTATCAACGTTGGAGAAGGTATTTCTAATCTTACCTTAACAGCATTCACTATTTAATCAATGTTGGAGAAGATTATTTTATCAACATTGGAGACAGTATTTCTAGTCTTACCTTAACAGCATTCACTATTCTATCAATGTTGGAGAAGATTATTTTAATGCTTTGGAGAAGGTATTTCAAGACTTTCCTCAACAGCATCAACTAATTCATCAAATTTGCAGAAGATTACTTATCAACATTGGAGAAGGTATTCCTAATCTTACCTTAACAGCATTCACTATTCTTTCAATGTTGGAGAAGATTATTTTATCAAAGTTGGAGAAGGTATTTCTAATCTTACCTTAACTGCATTCACTATTTAATCAATGTTGTTGAAGATTATCTTATCAAAGTTGGAGACGGTATTTCTAGTCTTACCTGAACAGCATTCACTATTCTTTCAATGTTGGAGAAGATTATTTTATCGCTTTGGAGAAGGTATTTCAAGACTTTCCTCAACAGCATCAACTAATTCATCAAATTTGCAGAAGATTACTTATCAACGTTGGAGAAGGTATTCCTAATCTTACCTTTACAGCATTCATGATTTTATCAACATTGGAGAAAATTATTTTATCAACATTGGAGAAGGTATTTCTAATCTAACCTCAACAGCATTCACTATTTTATCAATGTTGGAGAAGGTATTTCTAATCTTACCTTTACAGCATTCACTATTTTATTAACGTTGGAGAAAATTATTTTATCAACATTGGAGAAGGTATTTCTAGTCTTACCTCAACAGCATCAACTATTGTATCAATGTTAGTGACAGTATTTCCACAGACTTACCTCAACAGCATCAACTATTGTGTCAAAGTTGGAGAAAGTATTTCCACAGCCTTACCTTAACAGCATCAACTATTGTATCAATGTTAGTGACAGTATTTCCACAGACTTACCTCAACAGCATCAACTATTTTATCAATGCCAATAAAAGGTCCCTTTGGAGAGTTTTCCCCCATATCAATAAAACTTTGTATTTCTTTTTTGTCTATCATGTCAGCCATTTTGGAAACATATGGTATCCAGTCCCTGATAAAGTGGTTTAAGAAGAATCCTCTAATACTTGCTGACTTGGTCAGTAACTAAAATAAAACACTCAAAATGAGGTTTGTTTATTTAAAGCACTTATTGGCCGTATATATATCTCATTGGCTGAGTCCATTCTGTACACATACATAAACTCTTCTTTATAGTTTAATGGAAATACAAGGGGAATTCCATACAACTGGTATTATCTCAGTTGCAGATATTCAAATACAATAATACATGCTGAAGCAATATCATAAATATTGTAATATTATAACAAGAAATTATATTTTGATAACCAAGTTTTCAATTTAGCCAGAGTACATGTGCAATGTGTATGCTTTATATCAGCAGTAACTTCCCCTTAATGTCATCTAAAAAATAATAAGAAATTTACTAAAAAAAATCTTTATATGTAAAAGAAATATGCATTTGATTGAAATTATAAGAATAAATTGAAATTTTCTACATAATTGAAGTGTAAAAACATCACAATAATTTCTGAATTTACAGTAACTTTTGTTTTTAATTTTCATTTTAATAATAATAGCATTTTTTTGTTAAACTGGGGACCCAACAAATTTGACAGGAGGGAATTTAGATGTTCTATTACATGTACAAATTCACTTCCAAAACTTCCAACAGACAATTACTGGCATTCAAAAAAAATTTCACATTACAGAAACACTTCATATCTGGAAAATTTAAGTAGATTTTTTTGTTTTTTGTCTTATAGGGAATTTTTCATACTCAGTGCTGAAGATTATCTTTATTTAAGGAATGACAGTAATATTTTTTCTGTCTATGAGGAAATAACATCAAAAAGTTGGTGCACACTAAATTATCCGTTTAAAAGTGTGCACCACATTTTTGAGGTTATTTCGAATAGACAGAAAAAATATTACAGTCAATCCTTATATATTAACTCTAAATTCCATTTTTAAGGAGTAAATCATGAAAAAACTTTGATGATGTCATAGTCACATGACAAAATTATGTCCATGAGCTGATAGACAAAAAGCTTTCAGCCAAAATTAAATTATTTAAATATAACTACAAAAATACAAAATAGGAGAACATTATAACATTACAGATAATTAGGTGCAGGAAGAATGATCTTTGACCTTACCCTGACTGGTATTGTTGCTAAGGTTCGGGTAGGTTTAAATCCAAGGTCAGACTCATAATCTGTTATATATCCTATTACTATCAATCGACCTTTGGTCTTTAATCTATTTAAAATAAAAAAAGAATCAAAACATTTATTATGTTAATCTGATGTTTCTAATCCAAATAGCCTGATTTTGAATGTGTCTCAGGATTCTCTTATAAGTTAAATATTTCAGAAGTCTACAGAGTTTGCGGTCTTTCTAAATGTCCCCTCCAAAGATACATTATTATTTTAAGTGATTTGATGGTTTTTTCTAAACAAGCAATGCTTTACCAAAATCATTAATGTGAAAGACCATCAGATGTGTAGATAAATGGAGAATGTGTCCTAAATGCCCCTGCTTGCATATAATGATATAAAGGAACATAACCAGAGAACTGTAAATGTGACGCTACCCAAATTCGAACTTCATCTGTGTTTTATGGTAATAAGCATTGTGTATAAGTTTCATAACATTTGGTTGAGGCAAACTAAAGTTAGAGAATGGAAACCAATTTTGGTTTGGTACATACACACGGACGGACAAGGGTAACACATAATGCCCCTTCCGCCATGGCAGGGGCATAAATTCGTCGTGATAAATATTTGAAGTCAATTCAACATGACGTGAAACAACACATACAATAAATTATAGGCATATACCAATCTGTTTCTAATTAGGTAGTTGTTAATCAAAATAATAATCTTTTTCAACATCATCAATTCTAACATTTTTAAAAATAATTCAACAACTGCCAAAAACTAGAGGCTCTCAAGAGCCTGTGTCGCTCACCTGACTCTACTTTGGTTTTAGAAATCATGTAAAGATAGAAAAAAATCATAACAGATACCCAAATAATGATTGAGGCCAAATTTTGATTAATATTGGTCCCGTTATTTAATAAAATATCCTGGTGGCCATCGTGAACAGTAAATCGGCAACAAAGTAGCAACACTTGGTCAGCACTTCATAAGGAACATTCATGCCATGTTTGGTTTCATTCCATTCAGTGGTACTCTAAAAAAAGACATTTGTATGTATTTCCCATAGGGTCCTATGTTAAACTAAACCCCTCCCCCTAGTGGCCATCTTGGATGATGGATCGACTGCAAAGTAACAACACTTGGTCAGCAACTCATAAGGAACATTCATGCCATGTTTGGTTCAATTCCATTCAGTGGTTCTCTAAAAGAAGACAATTGTATGTATTTCCCATAGGGTCCTATGTTAAACTAAGTCCCCCGCTGTCGGCCATCTTGGATGATGGATTGGCTGCAAAGTAACAACACTTGGTCAACATCTCATAAGGAACATTCATGCCATGTTTGGTTCCATTCCATTTATTGGTTCTCCAACGAAGACATTTTCATGTATTTCCCAAAGGGTCCTATGTAAAACTAAGTCCCCCGCTGGCGGCCATCTTGGATGATGGATCAGCTACAAAGTAACAACACTTGGTCAGCATCTCATAAGGAAGATTCATGCCATGTTTGGTTTCATTCCATTCAGTGGTTCTCTAAAAGAAGACATTTGTATGTATTTCCCATAGGTCCTTTGTTAAACTAAGTCCCCTGCTGTCGGCCATCTTGGATGATGGACCGACTGCAAAGTAACAACACTTGGTCAGCACCTCATAAGGAACATTCATGCCATGTTTGGTTTCATTCCATTCAGTGGTTCTCTAAAAGAAGACATTTGTATGTATTTCCCATAGGGTCCTATGTTAAACTAAGTCCCCCGCTGGCAGCCATCTTGGATGATGGATCTGCTACAAAGTAACAACACTTGGTCAGAACCTCATAAGGAACATTCATGCCATGTTTGGTTTCATTCCATTCAGTGGTTCTCTAAAAGAAGACATTTGTATGTATTTCCCATAGGGTCTTATGTTAAACTAAGTCCCTCGCTGGCGGCCATCTTGGATGATGGATCGGCTACAAAGTAACAACACTTGGTCAGAACCTCATAAGGAACATTCATGCCATGTTTGGTTTCATTCCATTCAGTGGTTCTATAAAAGAAGACATTTGTATGTATTTCCCATAGGGTCCTATGTTAAACTAAGTCCCCCGCTGGCGGCCATCTTGGATGATGGACCGACAGCAAAGTCACAACACTTGGTCAGCATCTCATAAGGAACATTCATGCCATGTTTGGTTCCATTCCATTCAGTGGTTCTCTAAAAGAAGACATTTTTATGTATTTCCCATAGGGTCCTATGTTAAACTAAGTCCCCCGCTGGTGGCCATCTTGGATGATGGATCGGCTACAAAGTAACAACACTTAGTCAGCACCTCATAAGGAACATTCATGCCATGTTTGGTTTCATTCCATTCAGTGGTTCTCTAAAAGAAGTCATTTGTATGCATTTCCCATAGGGTCCTATGTTAAACTAAGTTCCCCGATGGCGGCCATCTTGGATGATGGATCGGCTACAAAGTAACAACACATGGTCAGCACCTCATGAGGAACATTCATGCCATGTTTGGTTTTATTCCATTCAGTGGTTCTCTAAAAGAAGTCATTTGTATGCATTTCCAATAGGGTCCTATGTTAAATTAAGTCCCCCGCTGGCGGCCATCTTGGATGATGGATCGGCTACAAAGTAACAACACTTGGTGAGCACCTAATAAGGAACATTCATGCCATGTTTGGTTTCATTCCATTCAGTGGTTCTCTAAAAGAAGTCATTTGTATGCATTTCCCATAGGGTCCTATGTTAAACTAAGTCCCCCGCTGGCGGCCATCTTGGATGATGGATCGGCTACAAAGTAACAACACTTGGTCAGCACCTCATAAGGAACATTCATGCCATGTTTGGTTTCATTCCATTCAGTGGTTCTCTAAAAGAAGACATTTGTATGTATTTCCCATAGGGTCCTATGTTAAACTAAGTTCCCCGATGGCGGCCATCTTGGATGATGGATCGGCTACAAAGTAACAACACTTGGTCAGCACCTCATAAGGAACATTCATGCCATGTTTGGTTTCATTCCATTCAGTGGTTCTCTAAAAGAAGTCATTTGTATGCATTTCCCATAGGGTCCTATGTTAAACTAAGTCCCCCGCTGGCGGCCATCTTGGATGATGGATCGGCTACAAAGTAACAACACTTGGTCAGCACCTCATAAGGAACATTCATGCCATGTTTGGTTTCATTCCATTCAGTGGTTCTCTAGAAGAAGTTCAAAATGTAAAAAGTTAACGCCGACGACGGACGACGACGGACGACGCCGGACGACGGACGCCAAGTGATGAGAAAAGCTCACTTGGCCCTTCGGGCCAGGTGAGCTAAAAAAGTGGTGCAAAAAGAGATTACTTTTCTTCTTATCATTTGGTATCTAAAAAGGACAATGAAGGCAAGTTAAATTAGTCCATTTCAAATCCGTTAAAGGGGCATTAGCTACGAGATATATAAAAAAATTAATATATTATTTTTTTGTTCAATCATTATCGAAAGTGAAATAGTGAAATAATAATTGGCTTTTAGCAACCAGTTTGGTTCAATTTTGTCAAAATAAGCTAAGAAACATCGCTGATGAATTATTCACTTGCAAGTGAATAATTCGACCTCATTGATTCCGTATTCATGTGACCTTCAATTTAACCCCTTAGCAAGAAATGGGTTATGCATGAATTATGCGTGTTCAGTTATAAAAGGAGAAAAGAATGTCAACAATGAAAGTGAAACAAGGGTAAACCATGTGATTGACTGATTTGATCCACAAAAACTCATTCTTATACAGGTAAAAACGATGAATAACATATATTTTTAACCTATAATATGAAATCAAAAAGACCTATAAAAATCCAATTGCACGAGTTCGCTATCTATCTATATCTATATTTATGTTTATATCGGGTTATATGACCGTCGGCAGTCTTCAGAGGTCACCTCAATAGTTAATTAGATGGCGTCTAGACTAAAATACACACGAAAGTCTGATCCATATTATCGAGCCCATGCATTGTAAATTGTTTATTTTAGACTTTCTATAATTTGGATATATGTTTTAGTATGTTATAAATCAAATATGAGAATTTGAGTCAAATCGGTGAACATGAATTTGACAGCTAATGCCCCTTTAAGTATAGTCAACAATACATCAATAATGCAGGGGCGGATCGAGCCATTTTTAAAAGGGGGGTTCCAATCCAGGATAAAGGGGGTTCCAACCATATGTCCCCATTCAAAAGCATTGATCGTCAAAAAAAAAGGGGGGGGGGATGTTCCAACCCCTGACCCCCCCCACCTGGATCTACCACTGTAATGTATGGAAACATGGAAACATTTCAATGTAATCAAAATTTAGAAATATATCTTTATTCTCATAAACCAAAATTCATGGTACAGAGATATTATAAACATTAATAATATAACAAATAGTCAGAATTAATACAAATGTATGATCTACAATTGTAGAAAAAAGAAATTCCAGCTTATATTAAAAAAAACATGTATGTATACAATATGATATAAATGTTATTAAACAATGTTACCCCTTAGAGTCCAGCCTTTTGTTAATCAGTTTGATAAATTTGCACAAAAGGTTCAGCATACTGATGTTTCTAGTATTCGTTAAATTATAAAATTTCAATATGTTTGGTCTATTGGTTTTCTAAATTTCATATTTCCAATACTTTTTCCTTATTTCTGGTCTCAAATTAAAGTCACATAAATTTCTGTAATATTGATCCCATCTAATGTTTTCTTAATAAACTGTTAAATGACCAGAGGAAAATCCTCACTCTCCCACTTTAAATTGAAGCAGTCTATCTTATTTATCAAGTGACAACTGATAACTAGTATCTTTCCCAAACTTATGCATACTTAATGTGAAAATATTCTATATCTTTACCCATTTAAACAAGTTTCAAACATTTCTCCTCCTATTGACTCATACACAACATCTACTCCATTCTAAAATAGAAATGTGACATTAAAATTCCACCCTAAAATAGAGCATTGAACATTTTAATTCTGCAACAGCATTGTTTAGTTACAAGTGCTAAATTTCCAATTTGAGTCAATAATTTCAGTTACCACATTGCTTATATTTAGGTCTTTCCACTTTTCTGTGGAAAGACCTATTGGTTTTCTTCTGATTATTATTTTTTTCTTCTTCCGCCACTTTTTTATGTCTCCAATTTGTTTGTTATATCCTCAGGATCTTAAGAATAATTTTGACCGAAGCGGTCCAGAAACTCCATATGAGAGTTATTTCCCCTTCTGTATTAAGATTAAGTAAAATGTAATTGTAATTGGTAAACCATAAGTGATAGGGACCTATGGTCTTTTGATTTGAGGTCCTTGGTCCAAAAAAAAAGAAAATAGGGTCAAGGTCAAAGATCAAGGTCATTTTTAAATTTGGATTTTGGCTTATTTTCACCTCTTTTCAAACACGATATATGATATCGACAACATATTTTGACTTAATTGTTAGTTGCGACATGTCGTAACACATATATATCTGTTTAAAGGGTACGCTAACATCAAATTAGAGTTTTCTCCCCTCTTTTATTTAAAAATATGCATATGGTGATATAACTCATGAACCAAATATAATTAAGTCCTAGGGTCTTTGATTTTAGGTCCTTGGTTGATGACCTTGAAATTGAGCTCAAGGTCATAGGTTAAATTGACGTTCTAGATTTTGACCTTTGCTTTTACCTCATATGTATACATGATAAATCCATGGGACATTTTGCATTAGGTTTCAAGCCATTTAACCTTAGAAAAGCCAACCGGAAGTGACCTTGTGTAAACTTTTTTTTGTACTTAATTAATGTAAAAGTTTATAGAACCAGATATTTTTGGTATCAGTGTCAATTAAACGTTTGAATAATACCGGAAGTAACATTTTTCAAACCGGAAGTAACAAATTATCTCCCTTATTTAAAAAGTATTGTATAGAAACCATATATTTTTGGAATCAGCGTACAATAAGCTATCATTTGAAGCTGGAAATGACATTTTAAAACGAATTTTACTATTTTCATATTAAAAATACATGTTTTTTTGTGGAAAGACCTTAATTATTATTATTTTTTTCCTTTTCCGCCACTTTTTTCTGACGGTGCTTTTTTGTTTCGCAAGATGTCGCTTAGATTTTTTGTGTATGATATCGAACAGTAATTGCGATTTTGAAACTGACCCTGTTTAGCCGAATACTTTTTATTGTAAGAGTTATCTCCCCAAACACTGTTTTTCTTGTGTACGCATCTCCTTCGCAACCGTAAAAGATTATGACAAATTTATGTCTCCAATTTGTTCATTATATCCTCAGGATCTTAAGAATAATTTTGACCGAAGCTGTCCAGAAACTCCATATGAGTGTTATTTCCCCTTCTGTATTAAGATTAAGTAAAATGTAATTGTAATTGGTAAACCATAAGTGATAGGGACCTATGGTCTTTTGATTTGAGGTCCTTGGTCCAAAAAAAAAGAAAATAGGGTCAAGGTCAAAGATCAAGGTCATTTTTAAATTTGGATTTTGGCTTATTTTCACCTCTTTTCAAACACCATATAAGATATCGACAACATATTTTGACTTAATTGTTAGTTGCGACATGTGGTAACACATATATATCGGTTTAAAGGGTACGCTAACATCAAATTAGAGTTTTCTCCCCTCTTTTATTTAAAAATATGCATATGGTGATATAACTCATGAACCAAATATAATTAAGTCCTAGGGTCTTTGATTTTAGGTACTTGGTTGATGACCTTGAAATTGAGCTCAAGGTCATAGGTTAAATTGACGTTCTAGATTTTGACCTTTGCTTTTACCTCATATGTATACATGATAAATCCATGGGACTTTTTGCATTAGGTTTCAAGCCATTTAACCTTAGAAAAGCCAACCGGAAGTGACCTTGTGTAAACTTTTTTTTGTACTTAATTAATGTAAAAGTTTATAAAACCAGATATTTTTGGTATCAGTGTCAATTAAACGTTTAAATAATACCGGAAGTAACATTTTGCAAACCGGAAGTAACAAATTATCTCCCTTATTTAAAAAGTATTGTATAGAAACCATATATTTTTGGAATCAGCGTACAATAAGCTATCATTTGAAGCTGGAAATGACATTTTAAAACGAATTTTACTATTTTCATATTAAAAATACATGTTTTTTTGTGGAAAGACCTTCAATTGTTCTCTGAACAATTGGTTTTTAATTATTCTTCAATTTCTTCATGACCTTTACTGCAGTGTGATTTAAAACTTTGTAAACTAATAGCTATTCCACTGATGTGAAGCAAATATGAAAAATCATCTACCAAAGGGACTAATTCATTGTCTTCAGGTTTGACATCAGCTATATTGAGCGCTTATAATTTAAACTTCAAAGACACTATAAAAGGAAGAGTAATAAAATGTTCTTTTGCAGGGGTTACCCAAAATAATCAAAAGTTTACGGAAAGCAATAGTAATTGTCCATGCTGCTGATGACTTTGATTCTGAGAGAGACACGCGTATTCTTAAAACATCTAATTTGAGAAATATTACAATTATCTTGTAAAAATTCATTTTGACAGGACAGTAAATGAGCTTTTTTTTTTTTTACTTAATTTTTTTCAAATAACATCAACATATGAATAATAATGAGAGTATTTTCTTTACCTTATATTCTGTTTTCAGCACTTGTTTTAGATTTTCCTTTTTATAATTCACAGGTCTATCACAACCAATTTTCTGAAATATTCATCATAAAATGTTGATAAAAAAGAGTGAGCATAACAGCACTTTCAAGATGATTTTCCAGGTACTTTACATTTCCAAGAGACATTTCTTCCACAAAATAATCAAGCAGTACTCATTTTTGAACTTGTCCTGAGATATTGGTTATAAAAGGCAAAGTATATGTACTAGTAATTGGGATATATTTCGTCTTTTGATAAAATTTGTTTGCATTTAGAACTTGTTGAACTGCATATGCCTATTAAAAAAATAACTCCAGAGATGCAGTAAATCATAAATTTATGAAATAGGTCTATAAATGTATAGAACGTATGTAAAAAGTGGCAAAAATGTTCAGTTTTTCAATTTAATTGATATGTCTTACAGGATAAATTGAAATGGTTTATATGGCCTTGACATAAAAATAGCACAGGAAGAGCAAGGGAGCAGCCTAGAGTTAACAAGCAGAAAAATAAACAAAAAGATTCCTGCATGTATGTAATGATGGACTTTCGCATTTACCAGAAATTTAAAATATCATCTTTCTTTTGATTTATCGACATGAATAATCATTTCACATTAATGGTACTATTTTGTTCAATACTGTACATTTTCTGCAAAAAAGGTTAATAATATACACTTATTGATTGGTTATGAGGATAATAGCAAGTTTGTTGTCAATGAGATACCAACTACTGCTCAGGAGAAGCCTAGCACAATAGTTAGTATCTCATGGACAACAAACTTGATATTACCCTTATAACCAGTCATTAAGTTTTTTATTGTATGGAACAAAATAACTTTTTAAAAAATCTACTCACACCACCTGCCAAAAACAAATAGTTTATATAAATAAGAAGATGTGGTATATGTGCCAATGAGACAACTCTCCATCCAAGTAACATACATGTTTTGGCCCATGAGGTATTTGTAAATATTTGATTTACTGTAATTAAATTGTGTATAAATCCCCATGCATATATTTACCACTTACTAAAAATATTACTGTACACGAGAGCAATCACAGATTCATTAATGAAAACTACGACAGACCCATACATTTGATATTTAGAATTTCTTTTTCTTTCTTAATTGCTCCATTGTAAGTAATATATCAATTTGAAATTATGACGACAGACACAAACAGATTATACCGTTTTCAATACTTCAAAGTTTTATGCTACCATGCGAAAAAGTTCAAGAAACAAGAATAGTCAATGACGTCATTGTTGTCCAATGAAAAATAAGTATGAAAAAGTCCGGGAAATATGATTATAAAACTATTGACTGGGGTAATTGTCTTTGAAACTATTGACCGGCAAATAGTATGTGGAATGAAAAAGCACAAATATTTCATTCTTTTTTTATATAGAAAAAACATAATAAGGTATAATAACCATAGTCAACATAAATTAATGTGAAAAATATTAAGCTAAATTGAGCTGAAATCAAAATTTCATGTGCAAGTTTTAGGAAATATTGTTTTCCTGTTTATCTTTGATATTGAAACCTCATTTAATACCTTTAAAAATTGCACTTTATCGTCTGTAGAACATGTTCCTATGACATGACATCCAGCTCTCTTTGCCCATTGTACCTGCAAAGGGAAATAATCCTGGTAACAATCAAAATATATCTATATCTCAATGTACATCTATAACAAAGTATAACAAAGTCCTGCACAATATTATATTTACATGTGTAAATGTATTTCCAACAAAGTAAATATAGCTTTTCTATTACCAGCCTCAGGGGTGGGGAGGACACTTACTATGCATTGAGTGGTAGGAATGAGCTTCTAGGATAGGTCAATATTTTAAGCTTCATAATATATGATAAGGGCAAGAAAGGTTGCTGATTATATCATAAGTATCTGAAACTACTGAATCAGATGTTAGTATTTTTAAAGATGTAATTAAAACCAGTCAAAAATACATCAGACATTTGTCAAATCTATTTGTAGATTTATAGTAATATAGCTCTAGGTATATTTTTTGACAAATATATGATAGGGTATTTTTTTTTTACATTTGAAATATATGAAAGGTTGGTGTACTGAATGCCTTAAAAGCTCACCCCTACAAAAAAGATTTTAGTAATAGCAACTACCTGATTGGTCTTTGTATTATGTTTTTGGACTTAATATGATCATGACTGCCTGTGCTATACAAAAATGTCAACTCGGCCAATACAGAATAACTCGGCCAATACTGATTTTTTTCGTATTGGCAAAGTTCTGACCTGGCTAATACAAGATTTGGGATTCGTCTTGGAATTTTAGATCCATATTCATGATAAACACCAACTTAATGTAAACTGTCGTTTGGAAGACGCTGTTTTATTTACACACCATAAACATGCCGAAACGTTCAGTGTGGCAAATACTTCAGGCTGAAGACCTTCAGATTCATTTAACAAAAAGCCTTTTGTAAGTGGACAATTTAATTATTTCAGGTTTGGGCAACGAGTCTGAAGATTATCACAAAGCTCATTTCTTGTCGACCTCATAACTATTTAAAACATTTAATCAGTTTAATGGGTACAAATCTATTTACTGTTTACTTTCGCTTCTCATGTTTTTGAAAGTGTCATTTATTTTTCAACCCGAACCAGGTATAAGAATTGTTGAAGGGTGACCTGTAATTGTTCAAGTCTTTGTTTTTTGGTCTATGGATAGCTGTCTCATTGTCAATCATATTCAACTCTTATTTTTATTTAAAAAATAATCCTTTTGTTTCTGCATTACTCATGCAATGGCAGTACCTTTCCAATTACTATTTATGTGTTGCGTCTAAATATGAATTGTAACACTTAATAGTGACTGGAAAGGGTAAAAAAATCAGAAAATGTACAAGACACCTCGGAACAGCACCAGATCATTTGACATTGCAGCTTATAAAAGGAAACTCAGATTTGGTTAGTTCCATAGGTAAAAAATGTTTATCTATTGTGAAATGAAATAAAAAATATGTAAACACTGAAGTTAATTAATAAAAGATATCATTACTTGAGTATTTCTGTATTGGCCTTGTTATTGGTCCTCAGCCAGCTGTATTGGCCTTCGGCTTCGCCAAAGTCCAATACAGCAAGCCTCGGACCAATAACAAGGTCAATACAGAAATAATCATGTAATAATATCATATTATTCATTATCAAGGACCATAACCATTCAAATTTAGACTAAAATATATAAAGTAGTTTCTATTAAAGTATATTGTAGGACCATTATGGATTTGGACAAGGTTTGTTGACTGGCCATATGATAAACAGGGTTACTTATAGGATTATTGAGTATGAATAAAAGGAAATGTCATCATTCATCCAAGTATTCTAAAGTTTCTTTTCCTAAATATAATGGTGACAAATAATCAGTCCAGTTTTAATTTCAATCTGAACAAACACAATGTCTTCTGATAAATTCAGTTAAAATCATACTTTTTCTATATAAAACCATGAAATAAACATCTTCAACAGATATTTCAACATTTTTTGTATGTATATGAATAACATCAAACAATTGTTTTTCTTTACATACACTTATAAAAATATTTCAGTTAAATTTATTTGTTTTTGTTCTCAATAGTGTCATGCTTTCAGTTTCTGCTTTCAAAAGCTCTGAATGCACCTCAAATAATTTTCACACAGAAATATGAGTCATGCACATAAAATGTTTGTGTACTAAACTACTCACAGCAAACTGGCCAGTGCCTCCAGCAGCAGCTGAAATAGAAGATATATTATCTATTATAAATCATTTTCAATACAGTTTCTTCTGATACTTCTCATGTAAGTATTATTAATACAGAATTTAATGTTGGAAAAAAATGCAAGTAAAGCATTATAGTTATTCTAAATATTTTTGATGATAAGGGCTAATGTAACTTCAGAACATATGCATAATAAGAAAAAAATATTTGGTTACAATCAATAGGAATGAAAGGAGATGATTTTCAAAATAGTTTACATTATTAGGAAATTCTGTATTTCAACAATTCTTTGATAGGAAATTTCTTTATGGTAAATATGACTGATTAATTGATCATTGTTCTCGTAACGTCCACTGGCATACGAAAATATGATATTTTATCCAGTTAGTCTGTATCATGTACTATAAATTCAGGAATTATTGTGAGGTTTTTATCAATGCAAATAATGTGACTGGGTTAGTATCACAATAATACTTGCATTCTGATATAATTACATTACATGTATGTTTCATAAAGATCTGTACTTTTGATTGGCTGAAAGCAATAGCAATGCATTCCAAAATCAAATTAAATTTCTGAAATAAATGCAACATTATTGACTGCGATTGCATCCCATGACAACTTAACTACAACAAATAGGAAAACAAACAAAAATCTAAATATAACTAGTAATTTCATAGTTGAAGCATATAAATGTAAGTATAATAAGCTCAGAAGTGCTTCATATAAAATGTTGTTTAGTCAACACTTTTACAACCCAATAAAATTACCATAAAAGCAGTCAATTCTTAATTCTAATGCAATTATTTTGTATCAATGGTTCTGATTGGATGACAGTAAGCGTAAAATTCTCTATCTCCTTGTCTGTAACTAGGAAGCCGACATTTTGAATTGCGGAATGTATTGACATGTAATTTCTACAATAATAAGCAAATAAACTCACATGTTGCACCTAGAAATCTTCTTTTTAAAAAATTTTATTACATTCTGAAGCGGCCAAGAAGCCAGAAAACGCCCGGTGTTTATGTTTGACACCGGAAGCATACCTATGCATCACCTAGTTTAGGGGCCAAAGAAGATAACATCTTTTCTTGGAATTTTCTTTAATAAAAATTTTACACTGAAATAATGATTGAAACTGAATTGTATACTTGTTTTGCATTAGAATAGAGATAACTGTATTGTATTTGAAGCTTTGCGGACGTCCATCAGTAGTTTTACTGTCGCAAATACCCGTTTACGCGTCGCCAGGTAAACTAAATTTGCGACAGTAAAACTACCAATGGACGTCCGCAAAGCTTCAAATATAATACAGTTATCTCTATTCTAATATCTCTTAAATCTGAAACATATATCTGTCTTCAGCTTTTCCTGAAATCCCAATAATCATTCTCGGATTTTGATTGTCCTGTTAAGGGCATATGATACAGTTTTGATCCTATGGTCAATTTTTGACGAAAATTTGCATTCAAGATATTTTTCACCTAGTCAATTCAAATATGTAATAAAAAATATATCTGCAAGTGCTATTTTTAGAGAAAAATGGGGTCGAAATCTTAGATATTTACTGGACATTTCGGTTTCTTGGACATTTCTATCTAATGGAAAAACATACTTAACTTTTTTGTTTCAAAAGATAAATGCAAGTGGAGTTTTGTAAAAACATCTGGAACATCTTCTCTACATAAGTGTGTTTTGAGTTTGTGTCACAATTCTTTGGAAGTAATTCATTTTTATCATATTTTTTTTGCTGTATATTTATCTAATTTAAAAAAATTTCATCTGATTTTTTCATAAAAATAGGCAAAAATAATCTTCATACATTATCAAGCCTAATGTCATTTTTAAAAACAGGGTTCCATGAACTCATTTTCAAATTAAATCAGTCTGAATGATAAAAATCAGTGGAAAAATGCATCTTTTCTCGATATGTTACAGTTTGAAGTCCCAAAAAATAACATTTTACATTAGCAATGTCATTACCTCCCCTGTAACTGTATCGTATGCCCTTAAAATTGCAATAATAAATGCTCACAACAATTTTTTAATCTACAATACTTAAATACCTGTAACAAGAACTGTTTCTCCAGCTTTTAAGTCTCCATACTGGAATTAAAGAAAATATTTCAGTTAATCCTGATAAAAGATTGGAATGCCATGTTTAAAACTGATTTTTCAATTGCACATTTGACTTTATTTTAAATGTTGTTCAAGATTATTAATTTTCAAATTAAATGTTTAAACATTTGTTGATAATTGGTACACTTCAATTCTCCCTAGAATAATTTTTTTTTTTTCTATATGAGAATGCAAATCTGACATACTTTCTCAGCTCACTTGTATTTGTCCTCTGTGTTTCCCAGACTAGTCTACCAGCGATCCAAGTCTTGTGGATTGATTTATTGTGGGTACCAGTTTTTCGTGAATTTATGAAAAATTGTATTATTGTTGTAAATTAAATTAAGGATTTTGCCAAAGTCTCCTTACTGACCTGTAGAAAATTTATACTTTGTTAAAAATCTAAGTTTACTGTTTACCTAGACCAACAATTTAAAAAAAATTGGTACCTTACGAATAATAATGAATCCACAGTAAGTGTTTTAGCTTTGGTATCTTGCACTTCACTGTGCGTGCATATCCAGAAAATATAACTGATTGGTCACTCATTTCATATTTCCCTCAACACTTACACAAATTTCATAGCAATTAATCTCACTACAGTTTACTCTTCCCTAGTTTATTAATTCCACGGATTTGTAAATGGTGGAAATGCTTAAATATCATTGATATGATATATGATACATAACAATAGCACCACACTGTCCATGTAAGGGGGCAAAGCTTAAAGTGACTTAATGGACTAGTTTTTTTCAGTTTATTTATGATATGATCTATTTTGGTTATGATTTTAGACAGTAATATTGACTTACACAATCCGTTTTTAAACATTGACATTGACCTTTAACCAAGTGACTTCAAAATCAATAAGGATCTTCCTCCTGTCATATGTGACCACATATCAAAGTAAGGTTGTAGTCCCATAAGTATTATTTGATTTAGAACCATGGAACCACTGTTCTGCAAACATTTTGGTCTATTTTTAGTACATTTTAACATGAACTTAGACAGTGACCTCAAATCAATAGGGATCTTCCTCTGATAATATGTGACCATATTTCAAAGTAAGGTTGCATTCCCATATGTAGTATTCAATTTAGCATCCTGAAAAACTTTTCTACACAAATTGAGGTATATTTTAGGAAACTATGACCTTTACCTTATACATAGTGACATCAAAATGAAAAGGGAACTTCCTCTCATTATATCTGACCATATATCTAGGTAAGGTTGCAATCTGATACAAGTATTTGAGTTAGCATCCAGATAATAACATTAATATGACTGACAAATGGACTAACTGACATCCAGACATACATCCAGACAAACTAATTATCCCTCCTACCCCCACCACCCTCCATCCCAGCTACTTTGAAGTGTTTGTAGTGTTGGGTATAATTCGTCTGACTAAGTTTACCTTATCTAAAGCAATGGCAGCTGTTGCTCCACTAACTTGTAAAGGGAGATAATCAGCTGACACTCTTGGTAATTTGAGCAAACTTTTCTCTGGGATATTCTGAAAAAAATGTAAATTAAACAAAATGAATATTACTTTCACTCAAAATTGTTTGCCAAAAGATTTCAAGGTAGAAAATTTACATAAATCACTTTCATAAACTTTAAAATGTAAATGCTAATTTGACTTCCTAGAAAAAAATGAGTTGTACATTTAAATCTTACATTCAGCAACAGCAAACATATTTTAGCAAAACAGTATCTACCAATCTAAACAAGCTTCTTGTCTTGTTATCTTAAAAAACAATAACCTATTTTCTTAGCTAATAAAATAACTTAGCATGCTTTTGTTCTGTTTTAAAAATGCATAATTTAATTTTATTTAAGCTTCAACACATATTTTCTTTCAAAATTATGTAATTGCAATTGCATACATTAATACTATAAATGAAATAACCATTTTACTTTGTATTCACTAAAAGCACCAAATTGTGAATAAGTAACTGGCTGGCCAACTCTGAGAGAACCTCCAGGTCCAACAGCTGCCACCTCACCTACAGCCTGGAAGAAAAGGATTATAGTAAAATATAGTCATCACCTATGGCCTAGGAAAATTAATATTTAAAGCTAATATTATTATAATAAACTGTTATCACAGAGATATGTCGCACCTTTTTGTAATTTTGATAATGCAAATGTTGAAATTAAAATAGCAATACTTTAACATGTAAGTTATGCAAATATTCAAAGTTGATGAACCATGACTGAAGGTACATGGCTAAACAATCTCCATGGAATGAGATGTGCTAATGCTAATATAACTGCATACCAAATACCATTGACTTATTATAAGTCACTCCCTTTAAACAAACCTTAACACAATCATTAACTTGTAAACTATGTAAAAGTTTTAAAGTCAATGAACCATGATCAGGGGTGGGGCTATATAATCTCCATGGAAATGATACTTGCAAATGCCAAGAAATTTGCATACCAAATATCATTGACTTAACATTAGCAGTTCATCTTAAACTGATCTAATCACAAACTAATACATGTAAACTAAGCAAAAGTTTCAAAGTAAATAGACCATGACTGAGGAGGCGGGGCCAAATATTCTCCATGGAAATGAGATGTGCTAATGCTTATACAACTGAACACCAATTAACATTGGCCTACAATTAACATTGGCCTACCACTAAAGGTTCCCCTTGAACTGACCTAATCACAAACTAATACATGTTAACTTAGCAAGATTTTCAAAGTCTAAAGACCATGACTAAGGGGGCGGAGCCAAATTATCTCCATGGAAATGAGATATGCCAATGCTTATACAACTGCATACCAAATATCATTGACCTACCACTAGTGGTTCCCCTTAAATTGACCTAATCACAAACTAATACATGTAAACTATGAAAAGTTTCAAAGTCAATAGACATTGACTGAGGGGGCGGGGCCAAATAATCTCCATGGTAATGAGATGTGCCAATGCAAATAGAACTGCATACCAAATATCATTGACCTACCACTAGTGGTTCACCATGAACTAGACCTAATAACAAACTAATACATTGTTGACGCCGCCACTACTGCCGCCGGAAACGCATACCTATGTCTCGCTTTTTTCCTCTGTCAAGGCTAGACAAAAATCAAATCAAAGAGCTGAAAGCTCTGAGGAAAAATGACGCCACTGTCTCTAATATTGTGATATTTTTTATGCAAGTCTTGATTTTCACAAACCGTAATTAGTTTAACATTCCAACATGTCTCATAAGCATATAATTGATATTCGTATATGTGTGTGTTATGTGACGATGACAACTGGCTGTTTTTTAGTACAAATGTATAGGTCAAGACTACATGAATGATCTACAGTATCCAATGACTACTGGCTGTTTTTTTCTATAAATAAATAGGTCAAGACTACCACAATGATCTACAATATCCAATGACTACTGGCTGTTCTTTTGTACTAATAAATAGGTCAAGACTATTTGAATGATCTACAATATCCAATGACTACTGGCTGTTCTTTTGTACATATAAATAAAGACTACCTGAATGATCTAAAGTATTCTAAGTAATGTGATTTTTGTCTTGCAATTACATTTTTCTAAATCAAGAATATAGACTACTAGTATCCTTTTCAAACCAAATGATTATGAAGAGCCTGTTGTTATCAAGCTCTTATACCCCACATACTCATTAAATAAGTTACTAGTGACCTAGTTATTTCTGTTACTTGAAGCAAATTATATTTCTGTAGATTTAGACAATAGTATAATATTGTTTTACTAGTTTTATTTCACCTTGAAGATTAGACAAATAAGGATACTCCTTTGATTTTTTATTTCATGTCAGTCAGGTCGCTTTATATGAAACCTGAAACCACTTCTCTGCCATATTGTTATTTCATAACAACTCTGCCCTTGACCATGTTGACCCATGTAATTGATATTCATTCTTTAACCATATATCATAGTCAGTTAGTTTTTGATTTTGCACTCCCACACCACCTTTCAGGTCAAATGTCTGTCTCCATTTAAGTTAATGACATTGAACAATCATGGTATTAAACACAATTCCAATAGTGATAATGCTGTTCTAGTAGGTCACCATATATTCAACTCGGTAGCATTCCAGTTATTGAAATTTGTGTCAGATTAGAACAATGATCTAGACCTTTAGGAATGGATCTTACAATTTAATATGGAGCCATAGTATGGGACCCCTACACGGTAACAAAAAAAAACAAGCTCTGAAAGATACAATGTCAAGCGGCAAAATCTATCACCAGAAATTACAAGTCAAGAGAGGATGGACGGGATACGTCTCTAAAATGCTTGCCTAACTGGAACTACAACAAGATCTCCAGACAAGACGAACAAGGAGTTGAAGCCAGAAGTTAATATTTATGTAAAAAGTAGTTGAGGGGCTGATTCCCGCTATTGAACCATACTGTCATTCTATAATATTATTGCGTAAGTATTTCTGTATTGTCCTTGTTATTGGTCCATGTCTTGGTGTATTGGTCTGAGGCGAAGCCGAAGGCCAATACTGCTGGCCGAGGACCAACAATAAGGCCAATACAGAAATACATGTAATAGTATCTTTATTAATTAACTACAGTGTTACAATATTTTTTTATTTCATTTCACAAGAGATAAACATTTTTACCTTGAAGTGGAACTATCCAAATCTCAGTTTCTTTTTATAAGATGCAATATCTAATGATTTGGTGCCGTTTCCATGCATCTTCAGCCTTTTCTCATCTGATGAATTTTTCTACCCTTTCCAGTCACTATAAAGTGTTACAACTTTAATTTAGACACAACACATAAATAGTAATTGGAAAGGTACTGCCATTGCATGTGTAACGCAAATATATTTAAAAAAAAAATAATGTAAGAGTTGAAATTGATACTACTATCCATAAGCCAATTGACCAAAGAACGAAGATTTGCGCAATTACAGAATGCATATGCCTGGTTCGGGTTTAAAAATAAAAGACCGTTTACAAAACATGAGAAGCGAAAGTGAACAGTAAAAATCGACATGATGAAATTATGAGGTCGTCAAGAAATGAACTTTGTGATAATTTACTCGTTCCCTAAACCTGAAATAATTCCATCGTCTACTTTCAAAATGCTTTTCAAATGAATGGGACCGTCTTTAACCTAAAATATATGCCATACTGAACGTTTCAGCTTGTTTATGGTGAGTAAATAAAAACTGCGTCGTACAAACAACTGTTTACTTTCAGTTTGAGTTTATCGTGACTTACGATCTAAAAACTAGAGACGTTCCGAAATCCTGTTTTGGCCGGATCAGAACTCGGCCAATACGGAAAAAAAATCTGTATTGGCCGAGTTGACATCTTATATTGCATATGCAGTTTTCATCATTTTAAGTACAATAACAGTGTAGTTAATTAATAATGATACAGTTACAGTCTCTGCTGCTATAACTTTGTGAACAAAGATTCATACGCACCGCGTGGGTATAACCGTATTACTAATTTCCGATTATTAAAATCTTCGTAAATCTTGATAAAGACCAATTTCTATCCAATGGATATCAAAACGATTGTAAGACATGTGCATAAAAGTGAAAGCTCGAATAAATATGAAAAATATAACAAAGGATAGCTCCAAATACCATTTAATAACAAAAAACATATGGACAGGTCAAGATATCTTTTTGGTAAATAAAATAACGTATGTAAACTGGTTCCCGTCCGCCTACAACACTTTAACAAAGACTTTGTTCGAGTGTAGCGTAATACAAGCAGATTCCAGTTAGTATGTAAAATAGTAAATATGAAACCGAGTGCGGTAGGCGGAGGCATAATCAACTTCCGTTAGTTCTGGTCAATGGTATCGGAAACATGCCGCTGATAGCGTCATTTTCCAATAAAATAAGTTATTTACAGTAATAAAAAACAAGCAAAGGAGTTTACTTATTGTTGTGTAGTAAATAGATATTATACTAGTGAACAGTACAGAATAAAATAAAATAACGTTCATCCAAGGTTTTGATTAAAGTTACTCTTCATAGGAAATAACTAAATTCTTAGCTCATTATATACTTCAACATATAATCAATGTTCTATGAAAAAATATCTAACGATTGTCTTAAAACTGATAATTAATATTTACTGTATTCTATAAACCTGCTCAACTCTTTTCTATCTATCATCGTTTTTGATACAAAATGTTTTGATTTAAAGAATTACAAGTAATGATCTAGATTTGTAAAAAAACCTTGACCCAATGTTGTTGCTTGTAACTACACTGAACTCTCAAGACTTCTAATCCGCATAACAATTAAGTTATAATTCACAGAAGTTAACCCAGAAATAATTAAGTGTAGGACAAAAAAATTTTGATCAGCAGCTGAAGTAATTTAAGCTAGTTTACAGTAACTGTTGTCATTCTTCAATACATAGAATTAAAAATAAAATAGTTTAACCCTGCCTGCCCTTTCTTGTCTCTGTTACGAAGTCGAGAACATTCATAAGCTACCAATAATCATGTATTATCCTGAAAAAAGATATGCTCATTATAACAACAGTGAAAAAACTTTTACTTCATCATAATACATCTAACAAACCTCAAATCCACAATCAAAAGGAGGTTTCACAGTTGTATCATATCTGCCTGCAGTGTAATTTATATCTGATGCATTTATACCAACATATCTGTACAAAAAAAATATATATATGAACACAAGAGGCTCCAGGAACGCAAATTTTTGACTTAAATAAATTTATTGATAACAGTTTAGGGTTTACATAATATTTGTTACAATTCTGATCCATTTACCTGTCTTAAATCAGTTTTTAAAGTTTTTTTATTTGGAGAATTAGACTTTGATAGCAGATCTTTGACAGTTTTTGTGCATAAAAATTTATTCATAACTGTTTTTTTTTTAAACCAGGCTGATTTAAAGCTTCACAAATAGTATAGACAGTGATAGACACCTTCTTTTGTTGAAGAATGTATGTTGACCATTATTTGTCACTTGGTTGCTGTCTAATTGACATACAACCCACACCTCTTCGCATTTATATTGCTATACAGTCTTAATGCATTGCCACACACCGGACTAACCATGCCAGGCTTATAAAATTTCTATTGACCATATGAAAATGTCTACTACAGACAAATAGAGTCTATAAAAAAAAAGAAGATTCAAGAGCTATGGGCCTGTGGCTGCAAAAGTTAATTGTGGAGACTGGGTATATTGAACTTGACCTTATTTCTTACTTCTTATTTCTTGTCATTTATTGTCATAGATCATTAGAAGTTACAACATTTCATCCAACAGGCTTTAATAGCCTTCCAAAACATTTAGTAAAAAGGAAAGTGTTAGATATATATCTTAGAATATGGGACTTATCAAGTAAATCTGTATTGATATGCTTGGAATATGACTGTTTGACAAATATGGGTACTTTTTGGCAATTGTTTGCACCTGTCCTAAGTCAGGAATCTGATGTTCAGTAGTTGTCGTTTGTTGATGTGGTTCATAAGTGTTTCTTGTTTCTCGTTTTTTATATAGATTAGACTGTTGGTTTTCCCGTTTGAATGGTTTTACCCTAGTAATTTTTGGGGCCCTTTATAGCTGGCTGTTCAGTGTGAGCCAAGGCTCCGTGTTGAAGACTGTACTTTGACATATAATGGTTTACTTTTATAAATTTTGACTTGAATGGAGAGTCGTCTCATTGGCACTCATACCACATCTTCTTATATCTATATCAAGAAAAGCACGTCAAATACACAAAGTTTATTATATGTAATTTTTATTTGAAAGTTTTCTACTACAAAAAAGAAGTTTAACACATTTTCTTCAACAATAAAGGCTAGCATGTTATAAATAAGCAAGTAATTTACTTTTAGTCAAATTTCAAAGGCAAAAGTTAAGTATCATTAATAACTGCCTGGTTTTTTTATGAATTCTTGTCTAACATTGACAAATAAGAGCAAATGGCAAAAGGATTTAAAAATATATATATTTTCTGTAGTAAATACAACAGACTGACTTAACAAGCCATCAAATGAAAGATATATGCAATTCCCATTATGACGGATAGATTTCCTTGATTTTTTATTAAATTTTTTAAAAGGAGGATCATGATTTTTCATTTAAATAGAGGCAAATATATTCATGTATATTTTTATAATTATCTTATATACTAATATATGTATCTTATATAATCAAATATTATGTGTCTCTCTTAGAAAAACTTTTGAAACTACATATAGACATGCATCATCTCAGTCAGATAACATGGTTAAGGTAAATACATTTTTATTGAAAAGTTACAATTCAAAAACTAATATTTTTTATGCTTGAAATAAATATCTCATAAAGGAATAGTTTATCCCTTTGAGACTCGTCTGAGAATTTGTTCCCATCCAGCTTAATTTCTTAGCACTCCAAAACCAATGTATGTTTCTTCAGGAGGGAGACAAACTCTCCCTATATTCAGCCTGCTTTTGTCGATCTTGTTAAAAATTCAAATCTTCTGCTTTTTGAAAATATTAAACCCCTGAAAATTTGTCAGTCTTTATTTTTTGCTTATACCATTGATGTTATCATTTGACAATTCCTTTAACTACTTTTCTGTCACAGACATTTAGGGTTAAGGTTTATTACTGAAGGTGTTATAAATATACCGCAAATTAAAAATGATAGGCAATTTACTCATAACTGGCCATATTTGATGCTATTAAAAATTTAAAAGGCAGCCATAAGTAATTTGTACAGTTAAATGGCTTCCAAGGTCCAGGATTTTATTTTGAAGTTGAGGGGGGGGGGGGGGTGCTTGATGATCAGGGGAGGATCCAGCCATTTTTAAATGGGGGGGTCCCAACCCAGGATAAAGGGTGGGTTTCGAACTATATGTCCCCATTCAAATGCATTGATCGTAAAAAAAAGGGGGGGTTCCAACCCCCGGAACCCCCCCCCCCCCCCCCCCCCACTGGATCTGCCACTGATGATAGGAATGAATTAGAGGATCATATATATTTGGACGCAAAATTGGCTGAAATTTTTAGGGGGCTGTATATATACTATAATTAAATATAAAGCTGTTTAATGTCTATATCTATCATGTTTATAATGATTTTAACAATTTAATCTTTGCACATATTGAAAATTATTTACATATTTAATTTTAAATTTTAATTTCTTGAAAGAGGCACATAATCCTTTATAAGTGTTTTCGTGTGAAGTTTATACAGAAAAGCCCAGACACATTTTCATTGACAGTTGAGCTTTTTCTTTATTTGAATAGGGAAGAAACGTTTTAACCACCTGTTTTTCACAAGAACTTCACCAGCTCCAGGATTTGGCAAACTTTCTTGCGTAATTTTAACTACATCACGGAATTTCTGACTTATTTTTGTCACAACGAGTTTTCTCATTGAAGAAGGTAACTGTCTGGATGCCATTTCTTTAATGTCGAGCTTGCATTATGACCTTATAATATATGTGTCTTTTTTGCAAAGTTCAGGTTCAAAGTCCGTCTGCAAATTTTGCAGTTATCTACCCTTGTCTTAGTCGCTTACGTTTAAAAAAAGTTCGACCAAAATCTTAATCATTATTATTTGATAATGTATTAATTCAAAACTTTATTTTAAATAAGTGAGTTACTTGAATGATAATTCTAATAGTTGTATTTTCAAATTTTAAATATGAGTTGAATAAAAAATTAGTGATGATATAGGAGGCTTTTTTTTCACAAAATCTCCAAAATGTTGCAGACAGTTGTATTTTTTCTGTTTGGTATTTTCTCCATTTCACTGTTAGCAGGCACAACTTTCAAGCTTGTCAGGTTTCTTTCCACACAACCTGATCAAGAATATGTTATTAAAGGTACATTCAATAGGTTCTAACCGGAGAGAGTCTCAGACTGTCTGACTCTGTAAGTTAGTAAGAAAGGGATAGTCTATGACTTGCAAAACAACAAATTAGTTGTCAGCTCTTTTTCTGTTTGGTGTCAATCTTAATGCAATTTTGGTTGTATCTAGAGGTCCAAGCCATTTCCATCATTTTTATAACATCATAGTCTCAATATCTTGGATATCAGATAATAACAGATTCTTGAGTAGATTTTGTTTGTTACTAAATTTGCCTAGTATGCATGTATGCAAGGTCCTGTGTTATTCAAAGCACCCCTCAAGATTTGCAAGAGTAAAGTGTAATCTTTGTACACTCCCTGTGTAGCAGGCACAATTTTTAAGCTTGTCGGGTTCTTTTCCACACAACCTATCAAGAATATGTTATTAAATGTACATTAAATATGTCTAATTGGACAGAGTCTGATAGAAAGGGATAGTCTTGACTTGCAACAAATATTGTACGGTACGGGACGTATTATGGTATACCGTTGTCTGTCCGTCTGTCCGTCCGTTGTCAACATGTCGGACAATAACTCAAAAACGCTTTAACCAATCTGCATGAAACTTTGGCGAATTGTTTATATCTATTGACGTGAGCTCCCTTTAGTTTTTTATAAATTTTAGATTTTAAGTCTCCGAGTCATGGGGTTTTGTTCATTAAAAAAGGGGGATTTTCCAATTTTTCGGACAATAACTCAAAAATGCTTTCAGCAGTTTTCATGAAAGTTTGGTGAATTGTTTATATCTATTAACATAAGATCCCTTTGATTTTTATAAATTTGAGATTTTATGTTTCCGAGTTATGGGATTTTGTTCATAAAAAGGGGGTGATTTTCCAGTTTTTGGACAATATTTTTAAAGTGCTTTGAGCAGTTTTCATGAAACTTTGGTGACTGGTTTATATCTATTAAGATAACCTCCCTTTTGTACATGTATTTCATAAGTTTCTGAAATGACAGTGAGAAGTTATTGAAATTTATTCTTTAAAAAAGCGACGGGCGTATCATGCGCTCATGGCGCAGCTGTTTATTAACTTTTTGGTGCTGTCAATCCTTTGTTAAAATTAATAATTTACAGTATTTAATAATAAATAATATATCTTTAAATATCGTATTTCATATCTATAAATGTTGTATAATCATTTTTAGGTATTTTCTTTTCCGAATTTACTTTTGTCTATTTCCACTATAACTTTGTTACCAATCTATTTCCAAAATTTTGATACAGACTTCTGGACAATAATTTTATCAATCTATGACTGTTTGATTATTTTGATCATTGTTAATCTAGCTTTATTATTTCAGAAGATATTATTATTACTACTGTAGTATTATAGTTATAACCTTAAGTTTATTGCATGGTTAAACTATAACGAGTGTAAATTTCAGGTTTGCTCAGGTGTGACATTATCAGGTGTTTCAATTATATGTTATTGGTATTGATTAGTTCTCAATTCTTTGGCAGGAAGTTTTTATTCTAGATGGTCACTTTGTGATGATGGACACTATTTTCTATTCATAGTAAACATGGTAAATTGATGATTATATTCAGTTTTGGAGTTTGGTCTTCATGTTTCTAAGGTATTCACTATTTTGATGATGCACAATATTGGCATCAACCTGATTTGATTTTTTTTATTACTGTATCGTATTTCAAGCCTTGTGTTTTATATTGTCAATTTATACGGTATACGGTTTATCTACAAATTTCTTTCAAGGCATTTTAAATGAAACTGGTGGCAGTTTGATGTTTTTTTTAATCATTGCTTGGTCAATATGTGCCACACAGTTATACTGCTAGTACACAGTATGTTTATATAATTTTTATTTGAACAGAATGCAAATAAGAGATACTTGTATTATTAAAAAAAAGTAAACGCCAAGAGACTTGGGTTGGAATGCAAACAATCATACCATTTAGGGGAGGGGTGGGGTACTTCATGTGCATCGAAGTCATGGCAGTTTAATCAGTTTGTTCATTGTGGTCATTACATGACAGAAGCAGTAGCCTATCAGCAAGCTTAATGTATCTCTAGTATTGAAGACATGACTGATATTAAATTATGGTCTATTAAGGATTGATAAGATGTAAATGCTTCATGTCTTCTTCACTTCTTCCTGAGGTGTCTCTAAAGTGTCCCTCTTTGCCTGCTTAAAGGAGAAATTTTAATCTATTATTATGTTGAAGTGTGATGACCCCAGCAAAGTCCTTTATATTCCTCCTAGTCCCTGAAATTGTTGTAACTTCTTATAATAGGTGTTACAATGTATGTCTTAAATTCTTAAACAATAAGAGTGTCAGGGGATAATTATGAAAGCTTCAAAGTGGGATGGTAATGTAATGTTTGGTGTCCTTGCTCTGCTGTGTATGTTAGGCACAGGGGCATTTCTTTACAATATAGCAATTTTTATGGGGATTAAGAATGAAAACAATGGAAGATTACTGTTGCCACAAAATGACATGATAGAAATGAACATAAGAGGGTGAATCTACTCCCCTTTCAAAAGAACAAAAGATTTTCATTATACAGGTAATTTATATGCAATTTTAATTAAAGCTTTGTCCACAGTGTTTTTTTATATTCAGACAAATTTGTTTATTTTAATTTTAGATTCATCAAACCTAGTTTTGATAGTGGTAGACTTTTGTCTTTTACTGTTGTTCATGGTACAACATAGTGTGATGACATCAAAATCATTAAAGAAAGAGTTATGGCCCTTCTGTAAACCTCTCTACAGAACGTTATATACTATATCCACGTGTGTAGCTCTCCAGGTTCGTACATTATAAGGCATTATGGTCATTTTTCATCATCTATATACAAAACATTATGCAATATTCTAATTTCTTACAATTCAAGTAATGACATCTTCTGCTCCTTAAAATCCGGAACAAAAAATTGAAGCCACATACATTTTTATACGACCGCAAAAAAATTTTGTGGTCGTATATTGGTATGACGTCGGCGTCGTCGTCTTTGTCCGGTGTCGTCGTCCGAAGACACATTGGTTTTCGCACTCTAACTTTAGTTTAAGTGAATGCATCTTTTTGAAATTTGACCATAAGGTTAAATACCACAAAAGGAAGGTTGGGATTGATTTTGGGGGTTATGGTACCAACAGCTATGTTATTAATAGGCTGGGGCGTGTTGGGTTAAACATGTTTTCGTAGGTAACTTTTTTTCATGAAAGTGTAATAGAGTATTACTTTCTGTTGGGTGGAATTGTGAAATAGAAGTCAATAAATACGTTCTTGCTCAATCCTTTGTCGCTTTGAAGGTGTCATGCTTGTCATCCTCAGCCTAAGCAATGTGTTACTGTAATTTGAATTTCAAAATGACTGAGTGACGTTTTTTGGACCCACTGGTCAACTCCACAGTAGCGAATCACATGATTTTGACATAATCAATAATATATTACAGTAAATACGAGCAAAACATATCTTTATAAGTAAAGAATTGCCGCATAAAAATAAAATACGCGGAAAATGGCAAAGTTCACGAAGTCTAGTCTGATAAATCATTTTACAAAAAAAAAAAAAAAGTGCAAGCAAAGGGGGGGCGTACGCCCTCTACGCCCCCCTCTGGATCCGCCATGGATAAAAATAAATATCAAAAGGTAACCTTATTACCTTTAATCTGAGGCAACATTGGATTTACCAAACACAAATTTTTGATATTTGTGCTTTACATTTCATCTCATCTCATCCATTTAGTTTTCAAGATATCAGTTTTTTTTTGCTCTAACAAGCCTTGATTAGATAGCTGTGCATACCATTTTCATCTTAGTTAGCAGGGATTTCTCCAGAATAATGAAAAGGTAATTAGAAGTGGATTAATGTTTAAAAACAAGAAGTCCTTAGAATCAAAACATTGACCTGGAATAACTTTACCTATAAAAGATGCCTGTCTTACTGCTCTATCATTTACATTAGATGTATTTTTCAGACATTGATGTATTTCTGGCAGAGAACAGACATTAGTTTATGGCTGATTAATACAGAAGATGCTCCTCTTACTTCTCTATCATTTACATTAGATGTATTTTTCAGACATTGATGTATTTCTGGCAGAGAACAGACATTAGTTTATGGTTGATTAATACAGAAGATGCCTGTCTTACTTCTCTATCATTTACATTAGATGTATTTTTCAGACATTGATGTATTTCTGGCAGAGAACAGACATTAGTTTATGGTTGATTAATACAGAAGATGCCTGTCTTACTTCTCTATCATTAACATTAGATGTATTTTTCAGACATTGATGTATTTCTGGCAGAGAACAGACATTAGTTTATGGTTGATTAATACAGAAGATGCTCCTCTTACTTCCCTGTTCTTCACATTAGTACAGATATTTAGTTGGATGATTCTGTTTCTAGAGAATACATTGACAGAGCCATTCTTCTTGGTTGGAATCAAGCAGGTTAGTAAAGTGGTTTATGGATAAAGCTATCCATTCTTGAAATACAAAAAACTTAGATTTTTGATAGAATATAAGGGTACAACTGTCAAAATAGTATGGTAATTTTTCTTTTCTTTTAAGATTTAGCTAATATCTTGTATTTAGTTGGGTAATTAGAAGTAACAAATTACAATAACTTTTATTGCAAATAGCTGTTTTGAAAAGCTATTAATGTAATATTGCATTTAAAAGGGGGTATCTCAGATGATTTAATTAGGGCCCAGCATATAGAATGCAGTTGATTTATGGTTTTAACTTTGTCTGTCTGTCTGTTCACATGATTTGAATCAATGTACACTAGTACAATGTACAATCAGGTCAACCTGATACACATATGGGATTTACCTCTTGCAAATTCAAGTTGTCTCCCCTTAATTGGTATCGGGTCAGCTCCCCTTAAGTTAAACTTCGGTTAACTCAAAATTTTATCACTGTCCCTTTGGTATTAAGAAAAAGGGAATCATCAGTATATATATCTTTTTAGGCAATCCCACACAAAATTGATACCCCTGGAACATGTACTGCTTTGATTGCATCAGGATTAGATATTTGTTTTGGTACCCCACACAAATATGTGCAAGCTGACAAGACAGTTTTCTAGTTTTTTAAAGATTGTTCTGTAGTCTAACACATTTATTGATATTATACATTACAAGAGAATGAGAAATATGACCTGTATTTCTCTCTTTATTTTCTATTGTTTTAATCTATAAAAAAAAATTAAAATTTTATTATCAAGATTTATTTCTTTTCACATATTTATGCTTTTTATTATATAGATTATAGTCGTGAAATTCCTTAGAAAATAAAAAATTTTGCATCCCATTTAACATAAAAACTACAAAATGTAGCTTGGTGGGACCCAGGATTATTGAAAGGGGAGGGTACTTACAGAACACACAATATATGCTGCCAAGCGGATGGATGTGATTTTTTTTTGGGACAATTTGTGCTTAAATTATATATTTTCCCTCCACATCCCTACCCCTGAATGTACCCCTGTATTTCTACTTTAAAAGGAAAATATTTCTTGGCTTATTCAGCTCTGTAAATTCTCTAAAAATGAAAGTTAATATGATACCTGCAGATATTTTTGAAAGTTTTGAATATGGTATATAGATAAATATATATATATATATATATAGAAATAATGTAAATATAAGCTTAGGTGTGATGTTACAATTTTACCTTGACTTTATTATAGTGAGATTTTGTAAGACAAAATGAAAAGATAAGACCCTTTCAGCTAAATTCTGTAATTTTTAGTGTAGTCCCCTGCCTTTACAATTTATATAAACGAAAACAGTTTGGCAGTACTGTTTTATTGTATCTTGCCAATCAACAGAAATAATGCATAATATTTTTGCATATGAGTTTCAGGGTAAGAGTTCCATATGGTACCCCCACCATACTAAAAGAACACAAAAATGTATTGCAGTTTATTCTGTAGGGGTGCCATATGGAACTCTTTCCAGTTTCAGCTGCAAAGCGGTATATAAGATTATATGTTTTACCAATTTTATTTTTTTACTGCTGTTTTAACTGTTACGTAAGGTCACAGTTTTTGTTGCACCTGGGACATATAGATGCTTATCATCTGGTAGAACATAGCTTTAACTATTTGTATAAAGCTTTATATTTTAGAAAGTACAAAAAGAAGCAAATTTCTGATGAATTATATTTGAACTGTTTATCTACTGTAATCCCTTTTGAGAATATATTCAGTTCCATATTCATTTATAGTTCATCATTATGTGAACAATAATGTAATGAAGTTATGATAACATAGCATTTTTAATATCAGATCCTTCATCAGCTCTTGTTTGTGGTTTAATCTATGTTGGTTGTCATAATGATCACATGACCTCAGATTGACCTTGATAGTGAATGTGATACGGAAATGCTTTTTGCTCAGAACCTGTTAATTCATGTGACAGATTATCTATTTATTTATTCTATCTAGATGTTTATATTAACAGTGAAAAACACAAAGTCCTCATAACTGTACATGTATATCAGTAAAGGGTCATTATATCTAACACACTTATCAATATACATTTATCTCTGTTTTAGGGATATTCAAATAAAGACCTTCATAATTTTATAAACAGATATACAATGGCATAGGGTCATTCAAATAATCTTTGGTCCTTGGTTATTGAGATAAATGTAGTTTTAAATGATATTATGTCAAAATTAAGTTTTAATTTTCTGTGGTGTAAAGGGAAATGGCTTCCTCATCAAGTCTGGCTGCTTAAATTCAAATCTGTACATTTTGTAAAGTGGAAAAACTAACTGAATAGACATGTTCTGACTGTAACCAACATATGTGCTTTGAATGTAAAAAATATCATTTTTGGGGTTTGGAAAAGAGAGATCATAAAATTGTGAGGACTGTTCAAACGGAAAGTAGGCCAAAGATGAAACCAAATCTGGAAGACATTAGTTGTGAAGATCATGTGAACAACGTCTGTACTAATTTTTGTGTTGAATGCGAAATACTTGTATGTCTGGAATGTTTGTCTCTTAGTTCTTGTCATATGGAACATAGCAAATAAACTATTGATAAAATACACGAGGAATCCCTGGAAGAGCTTGTGTCATTAGAGAATCACATAAAAAAAAAACTACTTTTCTCTGTCAAAGGAAAACTTGATTCGTTGGATGCATGGAATTATCTTCATAAAATGAAGTTTCAAGAAGAAAAGAAGAAAACTGAAGAACATGCAAATGAGTTGAGGAAGCTGATAACAAAGTTTGAAGGTCTATTGATCGATGAGTTGAGAAAAACTTTTGATGGAAATGCAGATGGTTATTTCCAGGGAAAAGAAAAAACTAGAACAGCTTCAGCAGGAATTAATTGAAAAAATTGAACTCATAAAGCAGTCGAAGGTCAAAGACAATATACTACAGATCCAAAAGGATGTTAGGGATTTGTCTCCCAATCCTGAAGAATATGACCAACCTTTATTGATACCAAAGGAGACAAAACAGTTCTCTAAAAGTCAATTGATTTCAATTGAATGTGACTTTGGACATTTACATAAAGTTCCTTTGAAAGGAGAAAATCGTGCCATCCAAGTAAAAAATGAACATGATGAAATCCAAACACTTTACACATTACCAGAGATGAAAAACTTTGTTCTAGCAGTCTGTGGGAGAAGAGATGAACATATTATGATTCTTTATTTGAAATCTGTCCCACTGTCAAAAAGTGAAAGTTCAAAGCTGCGTATCAAAGTTTTATCTCAAGACAGAGTTTTATTGAATACTATAAAATATGAAGACATATTTTTATTGAAAAAAGATTTTCTATACAAATTCTAAATAACAGAGAACATTAAAAGAAATATTTGTATACCTAGTTTTTTTCCAAAATAAAGTTAAAGTTTTTAGCCAGGATGGGAAGTTAATTCGTTAATTCGAAAGGAAAATGTTGGTCAACCTATTGATGTAGAGTCCACATCAGTAGGCAGTATTATTGTATTAAGTTTAACAGGACAGGTTGTTATTCTGAGTTTTGATGGAAAGTTTGTGAAACACTTTGACCTGAAAGATACTCTGCATTGCCCACCTATGAACTTCTACAGGTTTTGCCTAAAAAATCAAGAACTTGTCTCTGTTAGTGAGGGTAAAATGCATATTGTTCAGTTTAATAATGAACATTGATTTTGATCAGTACAAATAATATATTATTGGTGATGATAGTACAGAAATATTATCACATTTAAACATGAATTAATTTTTCTGTGAATATAGCTCATTTGTATAAATATAAATGTTGTAGACAATGAATTCTGATGTTAAAGTAGATTTGATGTGATTGAAAATGAAAAAAAAAAACATAAACAACAGATGGTTTGGACCTTTATGTTTTAATGCATGTTGTTTAACCAAACATAAAGTATTTATGTGCTAAAATGCTCCATCTATTTTGAACATATGTGTACATAATTGAGCACATGCAATTATGTACACTTCAACATTAGCCTTTACTTTCTAAATACAATAGAACAAACACAAGGTTGGATACTGAATGGCGCAGTGACCACCTTAAATTTTATTTTCCTAATACAATATGCATCTGATCTGGTTAAGTCCATCAAACTAAAATAATAAAGTCCATCAAAAACACAAGATACACTGCCTGACAGAATCTTGGACAATATCAGGTTCTGCAACAAAATAATCTACAAAATGAATACAACACATTTAAATACTGTGTATATAAAACTTGAATACAAATATTTTGTATACAAAAAAAAAAAAAACACTTCTACCTATATATATGACGTGCGATTGTGTGGTCACTACCCAGTCCTCGATAACTAAAAACCCGTGCAATTATGTTTTATACTGACTCTTTTCTTATTAACTTTGAAGAAATATTAAATAAAATAAATCAATTAAATGAATTGTACATTGTTGGTGATATAAATATATGTTTATTACATAACAGGTCATCTTTATATAAAAACTATATGAATATTTTACAAATGTCAAATTTGAAGCAATTGTTATGTGAACCAACCAGAATAACTGAAAACAGTAAAACATTATTAGATCATGTAATTGTAAATTCTGAAGACAGAGTCAGTCAGTCAGGTGTTATTCCATATGGTCTAAGTGACCATTTTATGACATATTTTACTAGAAAATTTGAGAGAAAAACAAACTCAGAAGATGCTGGAGAAAATTTAATCAAAATAAGATCTACCAAAAATTACACTAAAGAAGATTTCTGTCAAAAACTAAATGATGTTGATTGGTCTGAATTATATTTATGTAGAGAAGTAAATGGAACTTGGGTAAAATTCAAAGATATTTTTACTTCAATTTTAAATGAAGTAGCTCCTAAAAGAGATATCAAGGTAAAAAAAAAATACAGAGCCTTGGATGACTTCTGAAATTATTGAACTAATTCAAAAAAGAGATCAGCTTTTGAATATGTATAAAAAACA